TGAACCACGGAACTAAAAAAAAAAAAAAAAAAAGTCAAAAATCCCCGAAATTTCGGGCCAGTTTTGTTACGTAGGTTCATTTTTAATGCCAATCCATCACTAATAACACGAAACAAGCGCTACATATTAATAAAAGAACACACATTTTACAGAACCTTCACATTTAATGGTATCTAATTATTTATAGATTACATTTAATTGATTAGAGCTAAGTTTTTGTTGCATTTACACGATCTTGACCAGCAGGTGCCGCCTGTCTGTTGTGTTTCGAGGGCTTTGAATCATTTTGCGTGTGAATGAATCATTCGGTTCAAATGATTCAGAGATTCGAAGAGCTTCACTACAGGACTCACTCTCGTCACCGCCCTCCCGTCGACGTGGCCAATCAGCTCGCGCTGGCCTCGTGTGACGTCGCGCGCCAGCTAGTTCTCGGAACAAAAGCCGTCTGCGCGCTCCGCTCCTCCCCGCTGGATACGACCGAGAAAACACGGACGCGTTCGTTTTTAGCGTCAAAGTTAGTTTTATAGGAATTTGCGGCGTGACATATGCTCGCATACAGTGTAAAAGTGTAAATCCCGGCGAGTGTTTTTGTCCGCGCTGAAGCTCCGAGGGATTCTCGCGAGAGTAAGTAGATCATCAGCGCGTGGCTGGTTTGTTTGTGTTTGTGCTTTACATTGTTTCAAAGCAGCTGAAACCGCAGGACCGCATTGGGTCGTGTTGCGATTGTGCATGCAGGTTCTGGACCATGTTATACACGAACTATGCTGAAAATATTCAGGAACAACATATTTGGCCTCATGCACCTTTAAAACTCATTGTTTCGCTCGCACAGATATATTTGTGTTCACTAATTACATTTAGTTCAATGGTTATTCTGGGGGGGAAAGTTGACTGTGTACATGAAATAGTATGTTTTGAAAATAGGGTTGTGTGTCATCTTCAGTGTTTATGTGCAAAGGTCACAGTGGAAAGAGGTTCGGATATAATCTAATCACGCTCTTTTCCTCCCCTTACCCTTTATCTGCCACAGATTCTGAATGTTGTGAAATGCATGAACTAATCAGAGGTGAACAGTGAGGGGGAGACTATATTAAACGCTTTTTATTTCATCTTTTGTGTATGTCAGCGGTGATTCAGACACTGAATGATGTTATTTCCTAGTTTGGGCCGCTGTCACTTCTGCAAAGTATTTTCCATTCCCTTTGTCTCGTGTGTTTTTGTTCTTCTGTCGTCTTTAAAATCGTGCCCACTTCCTGTTACCTATGGAATCTGCATATGTTCGTTATTCATTATGGATACCTTTCTCAACCCTTATGCAAACAAGTTCTGAGATGTGTGCACATGTGTCTGTTTGAATTTAAACAAAGGGTTCTGTCCTTTTAATGATCAAAAGGTAAGTTTATCAAATAAAGATTTGGCATGTGTCAATCAAAATTAACATCACACTTTTAAAGGAATAATGCAATGTATATTCTGTAATCTTGTACTCATCCTCACTTTACAATAAACCTCTTCTATGCTCCACACAAGGAGACGTTTTGAAACCCGTTCACAGTCTTTTCATATAGACTTCTTGATCTGACTTTGAATATAGAAAGTCATATACACCTAGGATGCCTCGGGGGTGAGTAAAACCCAGCCTACTTTTCATTTTCGGGTGAACTAACCATTTAAGGGCTGTTTGATGCTGTTGTTTTGTCCTTTGATTATTATGGTCCATATGTTGTTTTGCATAAAGAGTTGTATGCTGTAGAAAAGAGATTCACGATTCGACAGAAGCTGCGATTGTCATGCGTATCTTTCAGTGAAGCACGGTTCTGTGATCAGCAGTAAATCTCCAT